CACTGTTCGGGTTTAAGCTCTGTAGCAAAACAAGACAAACCTTCAGAAGTCTACAAGAACTCCCAACATTTACTGTTGGTGTTTTTAGAGTTCAATACTGTAAAACTAAAATAGGTAGGAAACGGGTATTCGTTGGAAACCACAGCTTGTTTACAGCATTGGCAATAATGGGAAAACCATTGGATGTCACACACACACACGCACTCTAGTGCTGCACAGTACATTGCAAATGGCATCGCGATATCGGCATGCGCAATAGGCATTTAGCAAAGAACAGAAAAACGTGATGAATGGTGCACTCAAATGTTTGCTAAACGGGAGCTTGAAGTTTTTGACCAATCAAATGGAGCCCGGCCTTCACCCACTTGGTTAATCGGGTGGGTTCTTATTGGTTAGATGCCTGCCCCCTAGGCGGACGGCACTTAGTTTGTTTGGCTAGCAAACACCTGAGCTAGCTCAGAGAGCGTCACCATGACTGAAGGTGAGACGTGTGCGATAAATGTTAGTGAGGAAGAACTCCTGTTTAGGGGCAGCACTAGCTGAAGAGGTAGAGCAGGTTGTCCAGTAATCAGAAGGTTGCAGGTTTGATCCCGGCTCCCGACAGCAAATGCTGCTAGTGTGTCAGAGAGACTGATGGCGCCTGTGCTCAGAAGCCTCGCCTCAGTCAATGAGCCCCAGGGTAGCTGTGGCTACATCGTAGCTCATCCTTCATCATGAATGAATGATACTCTGTAGTGAGAAGTGTTTTGGAGTCCTCTCAGTCTGAAAGGTGCTACAAGTGTGGGTCATTTATCATTTATAAAACAGCACGTCTCATATTTGAAGATATTTTGGTTATAAGAGAGATGACGTTCAAAAACACAGGTGCTTTGCAAAACATGCCGAACAGTTGTGGCAACCATGAGGGAAACCACGACAAATGACGGTCACCTCCAACGCAGCAATAAAGGGCTTACAGGGCTCCAGAAAGCTAGCGTTAGCAAACCCAAAGTCTCTGACGTTAACACAACAGCTCACTAGATGTCTTGTGGAGTGGAAACCATCAACGTGGTTCAAGGAAATAATGGGGGCACTTGCACGTCATTTGGCTAAGGCGGTGAATACAATGAGCCAAGAGGGTCAAGGTGCACAGTAGCATGTGTATTAATGGCTACAGGAGTAAAAGTATCTGTTTAGCTCTGTAAATGTTCTGCAGCATTGTCCTAATGGATTATTTTAATTATCCTATTGTTTAAAATTGCTCCAACTGATTTAAATTATTCATTTTTTCTAAAATATTGAAACAGATCATGATAATTTTGTGGCATAACTGAAGCGTCAGCCCTTGTGTCTCAGCCCCTCCGGTGTGAAGACACTCTGGGGTAAAGACATACGTGTCTACCTGCGCGTGTCCACAGAGCAGGTACATAGAGCAAACAAACTTGACCCAGACGCTGCTCCATCGACACCTTGCAACATGTGCCATTATCCTATACCTGTGATCACTGGCTTCAGAGGAAGGTCACACACAGCAAACCGCTTTCGTAACCTTCAAAACCTCCTCTCGCTAAAACCGACCCCCCCCCCGAAGACATCCACCTGTCTATGGGACTGTAGAACTGCCAATCAGCTGTAAACAAAGCAGACTTCATTACCGCATATGCAAACCACCTGCCACTTGATGCACTGGCTCTCACTGAGACCCGGATCAAACCATGTGACAATGCCACCTCATCTGCTCTCTCAATTAACCACAATTTCTCCCACACTTCTCGTGCTTCTGGCCGAGGTGGTGGAACGGGCATGTTAATTTCCAACAGATGGATATACAGTCTGTTGCTACCCATCGCTAAATACAACTCCTTTGAATACCATGCCATCCAGGTAACTGTACTGAAAAAATTCTTTTTGGTTGTCATACATCGCCAACCAGGTCAACTCGTAGACTTTCTTGATGAATTCGACACCCTGCTCTTCTCCATTCCTGAGCATGACTGTCCCACAATGGTCCTTGGAGACATGAATATTCACATGGACAATCCCAGCTCATCAGGCTTCCTGTCACTAATGTCATAATTCGATCTAAAACTAGCACAAAGTCCTCCAACTCGCAAAGCTGGAAAAGCAGTTGACCTCATTTTCACCAGAAACTGTGTCATAGACACAATCTCTGTTACACCGCTGCATCTTTCCGATCATTACTTAATCCGTTTCAGCATGACTCTACATGGAAGGTCCACTGCTTCCTCCCCAATGGTCTCATTCTGCCGCAACCTCCACAATCTGGCACCCAACCACTTCTTGCCTCCATTCTTCCATCTCCCAGCACATTCTCTGCTTATGAAGGGAATGATGCCACCGAGTCACACTGCTCCACACTCTGCCCTTGTCTTAACAACTTGTGCCCTTTAGCCACTGGACCTGCTAGATCCTCTCAGTCGCACCCTTGGCTAAATGATACCCTCCGGTCTCTACACACCAATCTTAGAGCTGCGGAACGGAAATGGCGCAAAACAAAAGATCCTGGTGATCAACTGAAATTTCATGAATTACTGCCCTCATTCTCTGCCAGCATTACTGATGCAAAGAGAGCTTTCTACACTGACAAAATTCTCAGCTCTACTGACTCTCAGAAACTATTTTCAACATTCAAAACTTTGCTCAACCCTCCTTCTCCACCTCCAACCAACAATCTATCAGCTGACATCTTTGCCTCATTCTACACTGACAAAGTGGCAGCTATATGCAAACAGTTTACTCAACTGGCCACTCCTGAACATCCGCTACCACAAATCCCTTCTAGCCCATCCATCTCAAGCCCTACTGCTTCATTTTCCTCTTTTTCCCCTCTCACTGAGAACTGTGTGTCCAAGCTTCTCACGTGCAGCCGCCCTACTACATGCTCACTTGATCCCATTCCGACTAAGCTGCTCCAAGCTATTGCTCCTACAGTAGCCGCAGCAGTCACACATGTGATCAATGCATCACTGACATCCGGTACATTTCACATCTCTCTCAAGCATGCTCAGGTTAAACCGCTGCTAAAAAAAAAACGTCTCTTCCTCCAAATCATGTGGAGAACTACCGACCTATCTCTCTCCTCCCTTTTCTGTCCAAAATCATTGGAATGGGGGCTTTCAAGCAGATCACAGAATACCTCTCACAAAACTGTCTGCTTGACCCTTACTGAAACTGCTCTGCTAGCAGTGACGGAATCCTTAAAAGAAGCTGGAGCGACTGCCAAATCCTCAGTGCTTATCCTGCTCGACTTTTTGGCTTCATTTGACACTGTCAACCATGGCTTCCTTTTGTCCACACTCTAGCATGGGCATCACAGAGAAAGCACATGCCTAGTTTGAATCGTACCTCACAGGACGATCATTCAGTGTATCTTGGCTTGGACAATCCTCTACCGTGCACCATCTTGCCACAGGAGTCCCCAAGGGCTCTGTACTAGGACCTCTTCTCTTTGCCATATACCTCACTGGGTGAGATCATTCGAGCACATGGCTTCTCCTACCACTGCTATGCAGACGACACCCAGCTCTATCTGCCATTTCCACCAGACTACCACACTGTCTCTGCACGAATATCAAACTGTCTCTCTGACATATCAAAATGGATGAAATCCCACCATCTCCAGCTCAACCTTTCTAAAACTGAATTACTTGTCATCCCAGCAAAACCATCCATACAGCACAATATCTCAATCCAAAATGACTTCCTATCTCTGGCTCCTTCAAAGGCAGTTCGAAATCTGGGTGTTGTGATTGATGAAAACCTGACCTTTAAAGGTCATGTTACCTCTGTTGCTCGTTCATGCCGCTTTGCGCTGTATAACATACGAAAGATCAGACCATACCTCTAACACAACATGCCACCCAGCTCCTGGTGCAATCTACTGTCATCTCCCGCCTCGATTACTGCAATGCCCTTCTAACTGGTCTTCCAGCCTGTACTGTGAGATCCAGAACGCAGCGGCGAGCGTGGTCTTCAATCAGCCTAAAAGAGCACACGTCACCCCTCTGTTCATTGAGTTCCACTAGCTACCGCTAGCAGCACGCATCAAATTCAAATTGCTAACACGAACATACAAAGTCCGAGATGGTACGGCTCCCATCTACCTGAATCCTCTTGCAAAGGCTTACGTCTCGGCCCGGCCGCTCCGGTCATCGCAGGATCGTCTGCTAGCAGTGCCTACACCACGCTCAGGACAATTCAGGCTCTTCTCATGCATCGTTCCACAAATGTGGAATGACCCTCCAAGCACTACCAGAACAGGGGCTTCTTTTTCAATTTTCGAGAAACTCCTGAAGACCCTGCTCTTCAGAGGGCATCTTCTAAACTATCACCCCCCCCCCCCTTCCACCCGACCCCCCCTCTACCGTCCACTCCTTTGTTCCCTCCTCTCCATGATTGATGTCAAGTTGTTGTTATTGTTGTTGTTAGCCTCAAGGGCAACATGCCGATTATCACTTGTAAGTTGCTTTGGACAAAAGCGTCTGCTAAATACATAAACATCATGTCAACTTGCATGATTTCCTTTCATTTTGAGGATGGCAGTGTGTCTAAAGTGTGTATACACACAGAATAAAGACAAACACTGCAGATTTAAATATTTGTGTATTGCAAATCATTTCATCATCGCAATCTCTTATTGCGCATCGCAGGTTTTCCTAATACCGTGCATCCCTAACACACACTCACACACAGCCTTTAATATCACAACATGTCATCTAGAGTCCTTGTGTCTGCTCTAAAGTCTCTACACCGGTGTTCCTGCTCTTTGGGTGACATCATGTTTGGACACACAAAGAGGCTGAGTGTTTTCATGCTCCTAGCATTTTGTTTTTGCGCAAAGAACCAGTGAAACACGTTTTACCTCTGACGCAGAGCGGGCAGGAGGGTTTTAGTCAGGCAGGGATGAACACAAGAAGGATGGGTGAAAAAAATCAAAGCATTTTGAGAATAATAAAAGAATAAATGTCTGTTTTAATTCTATTTTTTATTATGTGTTCCAGGCCAGTCTGTCCATCTGGGGATGGGGGGGCCTCGGGGTTGTGCTGTTCCTCGTCACCTTTGGACCTTTTGCCATATTCTACCTGGCCTTTTATATCTTTTGCTTTATTGGCGGGTGAGCCTCACACAAACCTTTCTAAAACTGATTTTACAGTAATTTCTGATCAACATCCTTTGTTGTGTTGCAGGGGCTTTGCGGTCACTTTGCTTTATGGAAAGATCAACTCAGAGAAACTCCTAGAAAAATGCGAGCACTCTTACTTGCCACCCACGCAAATTGGAATACAGAAGGTAGGAGGACAGGGCCGGTGCTTGTTGTGGTTTCTTAAATAAATAACTGATTATTTTGATGTCAGAACATCAGCGAAACAATGCAGATGATGATAAACCAAGCTAGCAAGCATTGCAATGACCAGTGAAGGTTTTACTGATTTAACTAATTTCTCTTTATTGTGACTTTCAGACACTGGAGGAGATGAAACTGGAGAACAAGCCTATAAAGATCGACAGGAGACTGACTGGCTCTAGTATTATTGATGAACCACTACAACAGGTGTTTATTTCACTGTGGATTTGTTACCTGTGATGAAATCTTTACCACGAGGGTTAGGGTTGGGGTTAGTAGCTGTAGACAGAGGTCCGTAGGTGTATCAGCGGCTAGTAGACACTCTACAACGTGTAAGAGCTAACAGGCCATAACAGGATTAGCACTAAGGCACAACACTGCAGACGTTTTAGACGTTGGTGGCCGCAAGCTTTAGAGAAGTAATCACTCTGTAGGTCTTTGTGTCTACTGAAGTTTTTTTAGTTGGTGTTTCTGGTGGGAAATGGCCCGTTAGCCGACTTGTGTTGCATCATATCAAGGAGATTAAAATACTATATCATACCATACCAACTTTATTTATAAAGCACATTTAAAAACGGTATGGCAGCCGACCAAAGTGCTGTACAGAATAAAAGTAAAAACACAATATAAAACAATACATGGTCAACAATAAAATACGCAACAAAGCAGAAAATCACGGTCAATAAAAAGACACATAGTAAAATAATAAAAGTCAGGGATTTAAAAGTGCCTGGTCGTAAAAGTGAGCCTTAAGTACCGACTTGAAACGGAGGAGGGATGTAACGATATCCAAATCTCACCATACGATTTAGTAGGGAGGCTCATGATAAGATAAGATGATGAGACTCACAATAGAAATTGCTTTGACCGGTCACTGGTAAATCTGTCGTTAACTTTTATTTCAATTATGACATTTTGAAAAGCCAATGCTAAAGTGCTAAATTCAAGTAACAACTCAATGCAAATGTATAAAAGCAAAGGCAACCTAGGTACTTAATAAACAGTCAAAGGCATTTTAAAACAGCCCATTCAATAAGTAAAACACCAGGCACTACAAAACTGCTTAGTCATTAATAGTCAATAAATAAAAGGATCACCAAACAGGATCGGGTAGGTAAACCACAGTAACCCCAAGATTCCACTACCGCCGCTCCGCGCCCGCCTTCCGCAGCCGCTCGCTTCCAAACTCAATTTTTACTGGTACCCGCTCTACAGCGGCTCTGCTCCGGTGCGGAGACCTGAGGTGCGCAAACAGGCATGCGCGGGATTTTCGAGATCTTGTGATACAGTCCGAGCAATAAACGCGGAAGTTAGATCCAAACACCCGTTGTGTGGGAGAAGCATCGAAATGAACTGTTTAATCTGCCCATCATTTGTGCTGAGAGGTCAGCAGTGTTTGGATCAACAAAGTGTGACTGCTTTGATAGTAGAAACTGTATTTATGGCTTATTTTTATGCATTTAAAGTTCAGCCGCCATTGATAGTTGTTAAAAGTTGTTAAACCGGTGCATATGAAACAAAACGCTTTTTGTTTATCGATGTATTGTGAAATAACGGAAGTTGTGCTTAGTCCCTTTCCTGTTGGGCGGTTGTGATTTCTGTCCATTGACAGCGGAGGTGCTCCGGCGTCCGGCAAAAATAGAATCGATCCTATTGTTGCCGGATGGCGGAACGGCGGCCGCAGTGGTGGAACAGCTCTGATTGACTACAACGGGACCAATTTTGCTTCGGAGTTCGTGGCGGAGCGGAGGTAGTGGAATTTTGGGGTAAGCCTCTGCTAGTTCTAATCCAGTTTCAAGGTTGTTTGTTTTTAAAGAAAGATTAGCATGTTAACATCTGAGAGGAGGAGAGCAGATCTCTGAGCAGTTACAATGTCCCCTGCTGTGATGACATTTCCCCTTCACTAGCTACTGAGGTAGCTGGTATATGAAGATGCATCTTGGCTAACGACAACAGCAGTGGGTGTTGCTCCGCATTACTCCTCCACCACATCAGAGTTGAGCAAAGTGAGATAGTGGTCCCTTCACAGAACAAGTCCAGCTCTGCTCCAATCCCTACTCTGATATTGACCCTTTGCACGTGACGTCACGCCACTCATGTGACCGCCCCCTTCGCCATGATGGACGGCAAAAAGACCGTTTACACCCGTAGAAACTCCAGTGAAGGTAATCAAAACAAGCCAGTTTGTAGTCTTTTATCGCTTTTATTTAGTTGATTTGACAGTAAAATGGTTTTAACTTGGCTGCACTAAGAGACAAGGAAGTAAACTTAACTCGTTGTTTCTTTTTAATAACTTTGATGGAGACTGAGGACGGAGATGAACTGCAGCGATCAATCAATCAAGCGGACTAGCTGGCCTCAGATTTGCAGCGAACATGTTTTTACCGGGTAAAATTAACGTTAGTTTATTTCACGAGGAAGACAGGGACAGGGATAAATGTGATGTGTTTATACGAGTTATTGCCTGATGGATGGGTATTTCACCACGGAGGCTGCGCTCCGTCCACTGTAGTGTAAAGCGAGACAATTATTAACAATATTAAAGCTCCTATATATGACTGCGTGTGTTAAAATGACGTTATTTATTTATATGAGCGTCGGCATTCAGAGATCTTCTCATTCCGGTGTGAGAGCACTAGCTGAACCCGGTAACACCACCAGCAACAGAAGGGATCTGGACTTTTTAACAATCAGCTTTGGTGTAAAGTGAAACGCTATTTATAACAAAGTTATAAATCCAGAGGGGTGAATTTAGGCAAAGTCAGCAACATGTTTACATTGGTGAACAGCTGCAGAGAGAACGTAAGCTAACGCTGGTAAGCTAGTTAACAAACCGCTCTCTATGAGCCCCCGCTAGATGCGCTACTTCTTCTGATAACTGAACTGGGCATGAACTAGTTGAAGGAATGCTGGAGTTTTGTTTTTGTTTTAACCGCAAAAACAATTTCAGGCTCTACTTTTCCCTTTGTTTAATACTCGTGTCGCTCGCTGTTTACATGATTTTGCCGTCCAACATGGTGGACCCATGTGATTGGGTGACGTCGGTGCAAAGGGTCAGTACTGGCCAATGACAAGAAAGCAAAGGATCATGGTCTGTGTAGTTTTCTTTGCTATGCTCCAGTGGGGCGACCTGAAAAGTGATACTTACCTCAAAACGTACTGTACAATATCGTGACAATATCATGGTCATTTTACTGCAACAATATTGCGATATACTTTAACATTTATGCAGAAACCCTTGAGTTTGCTTGTATGTTTTAAAGTTAGTGATTGTTTGATTATTACCATTTCTGAGGAGGAAGAGGAGCTCAGCGCCTTTTGCCAAGTCAACTTTATTTGTGTAGCACCTTACAACAGTATACAACTGACCAAAGTGCTTTACAGAATTAAAATTTAATTAAAAATCACACAATGATACACATCATAAAATATACTAAGATAGACTTTTATGCAATGTTAAAGGGATACTTTGCAACTAAGTCATATTTTAAATAGTTTTCTTGAGCCAGTGTGTGCTAAATGGCCTTTTACAGGGTTAATGAAAGGTCACCCAGCCCCTTTCACCCCCTGTAACCAGAATATTCCACTTGCAACTTCAGACTAGCAGCCAGTCTGTTGGGACTTGGAAAATACTGGGCTTATGTACCTGGCGCCGTGATCAGGCTCCAGCACGTTTCCTGCATGTTTTAGATCATGAACACGGCTGATTTGTTTAATTTAGTGATGAATTGCTCCTGTGGACACTAATAAAGGCCTGGGAGATGTTTCAGCTGTTAGATTAGAAGAAGAAAATATCATTTCTATAGCGCCTCTCAAGATAAAAATCACGAGGCGCTTCACAGAAACAAAGAATGTAAAAATATGAAAAAGAATTTAGAAATTGGTTAAAAATATATTTGAGATGAATGTGTTACAACGACAAATGCACAGCGAGGAGACAAGTTTTGCTTTTTTGTTCTACAAACAGACACTAGGGGGTGCAAGCCAAAACTGCCTAGTGTCCCTTTAAACGCCACAGCATAAAAATGGGTTTTCAAAATGGATTTAAAGCAGGACAAAGCTGCCAACCTAATCTGTAGAGGCAGCCCAAAGCCTACAGGCCGTTACTGAAAAAGCCCCGTCACCCCTGAGCTGTGAGGGTGAAGGCGAGTGCAGAACCAACAGCCCAGAGGTGACTGGAACAAGACTGCAGAGGCTTAAATGCCTTAAACTGGATTCTAAAATGAAAAGTGAAGCCAAACTGGAGTGACGTGCTCCGTTTTTTGCTTTGTCATCATTGTGATTTTCCTATCTAAACTTAGAGAGTTAATGCAAACACAGCAGTTAGTGATGGTCACATGACTGCTCTACATGGTCTACAACCCACTTATCATTTCAGCTGATCTCAGGACTGTGTGCATCCTGTTAAAAGGTTTTTGTTTTTCACTTTTTGCCTCAGATGTTGTTTCATGAAAATAAAACCAACTGTACAAAAAATCTGACAAACTCAATTCGAGCAAGAAATTAACCTAATTTTGACCTTTGTTGTTAAAAACAGACCGCTATTTTAACACAGGCTACAAGTTAGCACAGCAGCTAAATTATTCTGCATCTAATGACACAGATCATCACAAATCCATATTTGATTCCTTTAATCCGCGTTTTAAACATTCTTTTAAAGAGATGTCCCACATTTGGGGCTAGCATGCTTAAGGCCGCGACACTACATCAATTTTATCGTGATCTAGCCTTTAATCAAAGTTCTTTCGGCATTTAGCATCCCTCTCGTTTGTGTTCAGGTGATCCAGTTTGCACTGAGAGACTACATCCAGTACTGGTACTACACTCTGAGTGAAGACGAGTCCTTCTTACTGGAGATCAGACAGATGCTACAGACTGCCCTCATCCACTTTTCCACGCGGTGCAAAACACATTTCCTCGTATCTGGAATCTAATGGGGGTTTTGGTTTTTTTGTTTTTAAACAAATCATACCATTTTATGTGTCTAGGTCCAAAGAGGTGGACTGGCAGCCTTATTTCACCACTCGCCTGGTGGACGACTTTGCCACCCATTTACGTGTCTTCAGGAAAGCCCAGGATCGCCTCGCTGACAGAGAAGACAAGCAGAGTACGGCTTTGTGTGTCTGATGTTTGACCTGCTTCCACAGGGAACTCCGTGCAGCTCACTTATTATTATACATGGCATCACTCATAAAGATGAGGTGGTTTTGTACTAAATGTGCGGTTGTAACGGGTGATATCCCAACAGAGGACATAACAGAGGAGATGGTTGATTCCTTCTTTGAGGCAGAGGTGGAGATGGAGAGGAAGATTTGTCGAGATGTCGTTTGCACATCACACAAAGATGAAGAAGGTGAACGCGCTGATCCCAACGTTTTTCTGCACTTTCACCTGAAATGTTCTGCCGTTGTGAGATGTGAAACGTGAACGTTTGTGTCAGGTTTTCTCCGTGACCTGTGTGAGCTGCTTCTGTACCTGTTACTACCTCCTGGTGAATTCCACAACAAGAGCATGAGATACTTCCTACGGGTAAGTGCTCGAACGTGAGTGACTGGAAAATGCGAGGAGAGAAACGACACGTTGTGGTGCAAACTGTTTGCTCGAACATTCTGTGTATTTTAGGAGGTGCTGGCTTATGGTGTGCTACTCCCTCTGATCAACCAGCTGAGTGATCCCGACTACATTAACCAGTTTGTCATCTGGATGGTAAGGATCCCAGTACAAGCCAACTTATCACATATTAATAATGAAACTACTGATGCCAAATCCGTGTCTAGATTCGGGACAGCAGCTGTAACTACGAAGCCTTCATGAACATCTTGAAGTTAACAGATAAGCCCGCTGAGCTGGAAGCTGTTAGAGACAAGGTGCTGGAGGAGCTGCAGTATCTCCGCTCTCTGGATACAGCGGGAGATGGTAGGCGTCCTCTCTCACACACTCAAATCTAACATGTCAGTGACAAAATCAAGCTTTCTACCTGACTAACACGTGACCCTTTGGTGTGCAGACATCAATGTGATCAAGAACCAGATTAACAGTCTTCTGTTTGTGAAGAAGGTGTGTGAGACGAGAATCCAGAGGCTGCAGTCTGGAAAAGTGAGGATCTGCCTCAAAGCGTTCTACTGGGGAACATTTAACTCGCTATGCTCAGTCTGCAGCTTTTGACTGTTTTCCATCTTGTGCAGGAGGTGGATACGCTGAAGCTAGCAGCTAACTTTGGAAAACTGTGCGTCATCCCGTTGGATCACATCCTTGTTCACAACATAGCGCTGCAGTTTTTCATGGGTACGTAAAGACCTTGAGGCCTCAGCTAGGGATGGGTACCTTTGACATTTGAATCGATCCGGTACTAATTCCCGGTACCTACGAATCAATACCGGTACTTAACGGTACCAATTTTCGATACTTTTGAGTGTTTATTATTTTAATTCTCTTTTATAATTAAATATATGTTTTTCTCAATTTATAACCATATTTGATAAATATCACGATAAATAACATACAACTGTTTGTATTTTATCATCGTCCTTGTAGTTTTATAAGCTGATAATTAAACTGAAGCAAACATCTTTACTGTGAACTAAATTTACTGTGTATCTTCATTCCTTTTGCCGTCTTTTTTCATTTGATTTTTCCTACTGGGAAGTTAGAATTTCCGAGGAGAAAGCGAACGCACCATGAACTGATAACAACGGTGGTAATGGAAGCTAACATATCAAGCTAACGTTATCTTAAACAGTTTATTTAGCTGCTGGAGCAGATTTAAACGATGATGCCTCACACTTAGATCGTTGTCGCTGGTTTCATCTTCACCCAATCACCCGTCACATTTAGTAAGGTGAAGCCAAACTTTAGAGTGCGTTCTTCTAGTCGGGAATTTGGAGTTCCGAGGAGAAAGCGAATGCACCATTAGCGAAACGGAAGCTAACATATCAAGCTAATTATATTTACCTACCGGAGCAGATTAAGATGAGGATGTCTCACTTAGATCGTTGTCGCTGGTTTCATCATCACCCAGTTACCCATCACATTTAGTGAAGTGGACCCAAGCTTTAGCGTGCGTTCTTTCTACCATGCTGCTCTGTTTACAACTGGTTTGCAGCGAGCGACGACATAACGCTCTTGCGCATGCGCAGCTGTCTAGGCAAGTTTTCGTTATGAAGGACGGGTACCGAAACAAGGCACAGTTTGAAATGACGTGAATCGGTGCTCGGTCGGTACTATGGAATTCGGTCGGTACCTTAAAATGTACCGAATTCGGTACCCATCCCTCAGCAGAACTAATCCCAGACATCTGTGTAGATCACCTCTATATTCACCTAAAACCTCACCCGCATGAAAAGGGCCTTAGCATTAGGAACTATACCTTGTTTTTCTGTAGTTACATCATCAGACCACACTGGGGGAAGTTTGCGTTGGGCCTTTGGACCAGGTTTGATTTAGTCTCTTTGCTGCAGACTTCATGCAGGCAGCCGGAGCTCAGGCAGAGCTCTTCTTTTGGCTCACTGTGGAAGGATACAGGGTGACAGCGCAGCAGCAGCTGATGGTGATGGAGGGCTGGCAGAAAGATGAAAACAAGCAGCCTGGCACCACAAAGGGGCTGCTCCGGGCTGCTGCTCTGGGTGTCTATGAACAATACCTCTCTGACAAGGTGGGAGGACCATGAACCCTCTTAAAATAGCAGTATTTAAAACGAATAAGCAGAGTAAATGTAAAGTTAAATGTCTGTTAACTCTTTCTGCCTTCCTGTCTTTAAATTCACTCTAATCTGAGTGTCTGTTCTCTAATAGGCGTCTCCCAGAGTGCAGGTCGACAAAGTGTTGGTGACCAAACTGGGAGAGAAGCTGCAGAAAGATGACCCCACACCTGAGATATTTGATGAAATTCAGAGAAAGGTAAAGCATAAAAACATTTTCTAAGCTATTTTAATACTATTCTTATTTGTTCCTGGTACCAAGTCATGCCCATTATCCTTCAGGTGTACGAAATGATGCTGCGAGATGATAGGTTTTACCCGTCCTTCAAGCAGAGTCCTCTCTATGTCCGGATGCTGGCTGAGCTGGACATGCTGAAAGAGCCCAGCTACAGAGGCTCTGACGACGGGGATGGAGAGTCCTTCAACGGCTCCCCCACAGGAAGCCTCAACCTGGTACCTCTCTCCCTCTAAAAACGACACTGCTCAACAAATAAAGGGAACACCTGAGCCTAATTTATACTTCTGCGTCGGGACGGACGGTCGCACGCACGCAACGGCATTATCCGTCCTTTCGAGGGCTCTCCGACAGGCTCGCAAGACGTAGTCGAGCTCTCTTTTCTAAACATCCATCCGTCGAGATGGAGAACGCAAGCTTGTGATTGGTCAGGACGCCTCTGGCGGAAGCTTGAAGAGTACCTGGCGGGAAAACTCTAAAAATATGAACGTTTTATTTCCCGGTGACTGGAGGAGTGAAAAGATACACAGCAAGTGTTTTATTCGTGGACGGAAACGACGGGGAACGTGGGTTTAGAGGTGGCGAGCGTGTGAAGAGGTGGAGGAGGATGAGTGACAAATTTGTTCATCTTAAAAGTCTCAAATACAAAAAAAACAAACAATATATAAACACAGTATCTGGGACCGGATACTTGACAGGATGCACCAGAACCGCGCTCCGCCCTCTGTTGTTCTGGTGGGGAATTGCTTTGCAACGCTCCACAGGAGACGGAGAAGTATGAGGGAAAATTGTCTCCGTCCGTGCCTGACTCTCCCTCGTGGAGCTGATGAAGTATAAATTAGGCTTTAAACAACGCAATGTAACTCCATGCCAGTCACACTTCTGTGAAATCAATCTGTCCACTAAGGAGGCAACACTGGCCGTCACTTTCACCTGGTATTGTGCAAATGGAATACACAACAGGTGAAATTATAGGCAATTAGCGAGACATCCCCAGTGAAGGAGTGGTTCTGTAGGTGGTGAGTGACCACAGACCACTTCTCCGTTCCTCTGCTTTCTGGTGGATGTTTTAGTCACTTTAGCATGCTAGCGATGCTTCCACTCTAATGGTAGCATGGGACTGAGTCTACAACCCACACAAGTGGCTCAGGAAGTGCAGCTCATCCAGCTGTGGCCAGAAGGTTTGTATCCAGAGCATGGAGGTGCTACCAGGAGACGGGCCAGTGCATCAAGGGATGTGAAGAAGGCCGTAGGAGGGCAGCAACGCAGCAGCAGGACCACTACCTCCACCTTTGTGCAAGGAGGAGCAGGAGGAGCACTGCCCGAGCCCTGCAAACTGACCTCCAGCGGGCTACAGATGTGTTTGTGTTTGCTCAAATGGTCAGAAACAGACTCCATGAGGGGGGTTTGAGTGCCCGATGTCCACAGGTGGGGGTTGTGCTTACAGCCCAACACCGTGCAGGACGTTTGACTTTTGCAAGTGTGAACCTGCTTCAAGGATGAAAGCGGGTTCACGCCGAGCACACGGCAGACGTGACATCTGGAGATGCCATGGAGAACGTTCTGCCTGCAGTGTCCTCCAGCATGACCAGTTTGGCGGGGTGTCAATGATGGTGTGGGGTGACATTTCTCTGGCTGGATGCTCAGGCCTCCATATGCTCACCAGAGGTAGCCTGACTGCCATTAGGTAATGAGATGAGATCCGCAGACCTCTTGTTAGACCATATGGTGGTGCGGTTGGCCCTGGGTTCCCCTAGTGCAGGACAATGCTTGAGCTCGTGTGTGACTGGAGTGTTTCAGCAGTTCCTGCTAGACGAAGGCAGTGATGCTATGGACTGACCCCCCCCCCCCCCCCCCCCCCCAGACCTGAATCCAATTGAGCACATCTGGGACATCATGTCTCATCGTGTGCATCCAGCAATGCAACATTGCACCACAGACTGTCCAGGTCTGAGAGGAGCTCTCTCTGGAGATCATCCACAGCCTCATCAGGAGCATGACCAGGTGTTGTAGGGAGGTCATACGGGTACGAGGAGGCCACACACACCACTGAGCCTCATTTTGACCTGTTTTCAGGACATTACATCACAGTTGGATCCACCACTCCATTATGAGTGTGACAACAAATCCAGACCTCCATGGGTTGGTAAATGTGATGTCCATTGATAATTTTTGTGTGAGTTTGTAGTCGGCATATTCAACTATGTAAGGAACAACGTATTTAATAAGAATATTCCATGAATTCAGATCTAGGATGTCTTATTTTTGAGTTCCCTTTATCTTTTGGAGCAGTGTGCAGCATGAGGACTTTTTTTTTTATGGTCGCGTCGGTTCATGCTGATGTGCGTGTTTTTTTTTTAATGATTTCAGTCACTGGATGACTTGACCAACGCCTGCCAGGATGAGTTTTTGCAGCTACATGCCTTTATCTCTGACACAGGTACACAGAATGAATGAAGTTTAGTCAGAATGATTAACGCGTGTGTTTTTTTCAAAGGTATTTAAGTCTCTGCAGGGATTTTGATTAAACCCTATTTTAAAATATCACAGATTTCTTTGTAGGTTGTGCATATCGTTATTTTGGGGTTGTTGAGGACTTGATAGTGCATGTGTAACTGAGTTTGTATGGATCTGAACTCCCTCCAGTCCCTCCATGCATGTTCTTTTTTACCTCCTTTGCTCCTCATTTCTGTACCCTTTTCTCTTTTCACACTTAGTGTTCTTTATTTTTTTTATTCCAGAGCACTGTTTTTATGTTCTGTCTTGTGATGTCATTCCATCACACTGTTACTCCCCTATATCTTCATATATTTTTCTTTGGCTTGTTTTTCCTGCCCTACACACTTTCTGCTCTCCGCCTTTCGTCAACCCATCCTCAACTCCCCTGTTTGGGATTTATTGTGGGGTGAGGTAGCTGATACTTGTCTTCCTGGCTTCTGGGGTGCCACAGGGGTTTGCAACGATCATGGAAAGACTTACGCACTGTACACCATCACCGTGTTCAGAAGGAACCAAGACGGTAGCGATGACTCCTGGAAGACCTACCGGCGCTACTCAGACTTCCACGACTTCCACTTGAGAATCACTGGACAGGTGATTTAAGCTGTTTAAGTCGATGTAGAGCAGCCTTTTGCATGTTTCCCTTTCCATGAATGTATTTGTTGTTCTAGTTTGAGAACCTGTCGTCGATCCTCAAGTTGCCCGGGAAAAAAACCTTCAACAACATGGACCGAGAGTTTTTGGAGAGGAGAAAAAAAGATCTTAATGCTTACCTACAGGTAAAAAGCCTTGTTTCAATTTGTCATGTCCAAAAATATTTGTCAGCCACCAATTGTGCCAGTGAAAAAGTTAAGAGGTCTGTAATTTTCGTCAAAGGTTCACTTAGCATTTACAAAAAAATAAAATAAAAAATCCTTGCTGTGAATTTTGGTGTTGGAAGTAGGGATTTCACGGTTACCGGTGTAGCCGTAAACCCCAGTAAAAATATATACCGTCTTATCTCAGTGGATTTTCGCGGCCGTGACCCTTACCAGCCACTGTCTCATCCACTGAATTTGCCGCATGTGAGCACTTTGTAGTTTGCAACCAAAACTTTCTTGAAGCAGAAATGATGACCAAAGGAGGAGACAACAGCGGTCAGGACATCTATCAGCCCTCAAAGATGACAGTGTCAGAAGTACAGGCATATTTTTGGATATTTGAAGAATGCAGATGGACAGTTGATAGAAGACGGCTATCTTGTTTGCAGAACGTTCAAGAAACAAGTGTCTGCAAAAGGCAGCAACACTTCAAATCTCATGACACATCTGCGTGACCATCACCCACAACTACCGTCAATGCAAGGCAAATTAACGTTAGCGGTTTAGCTGAAATGCTTGATGTAAAGACTTTAGGTTGAGGGAGAATGCAAAAAATCGCCCTATAGTGCAGCCGCAGCGCCCACTGCCAGCATGTAAACCATGTCACAGACACCCCCATATTGAAATGACGCCATGCATTATGGGGCTCCCAAGGGGGCAGATAAGAGCTGGTCGCCAGTGTAATAGATTGACTCTCGCCACATTATTATGAATTAAACGATTACTGCGTGATGACATTTTCCCAAATCTGCAAAGCTCGCTGGAAGGACACAAACCGAGGACAACTACCGTAAATCCTCTAATATTGGCTTGTATTCAGTAAACGGCCGGGTATCATATTTTGGCCGGTGTCGGAGTCGGTGGAGGTGAATAATGGCCGGTATTTTATTGTGGCCGGGTGGAATGTGGTAACAAGCAAGTACGGGGGCGGTTGTATCATCTGTCTCACTTTTGATTTGCCAGTGATAGACCGCGAGGGTAACTTTAACCGTGCGGAGACGAAGAGGAGGCGAAAATTTGATATCAAGTTCAAAGAGAACGTGCTGATTATGCTGCAGAACACTCTGGGGAGCAGTAGCAGGGGTTGAATGAACTAGTCGACTTCACTATAGTGACTTTTTATGCCTGTCATCGACTAGTCGCTGTCACGTGATAATGACCGGCAAGATGCAGCCCTCGGAAAAGACAGCAGCCTGCTGTCAGCAGGTGACAAGCTCCTGCGCGTCGGGGGTGCAACGCGCTGTGCCAGAGCGTCGGTACTGACACGCAATCGTTCATGTCGGTTCATTTCCTTTAATGTTTTCTGTCTTTTATTTGCGCCTGATGCGTTTCGCTGTGGAGCGGGGCGCATCACCTTGTCTTCCGGTGATGCACCGATTACTGATGCGGCCGCCAAGCAGGGAGCACTCCGCTGTTTTTGCGGTCAGTAGATCTTTTAGAACTGCAGTTCAAAGGTAACTCATAAGGTGAATATATATGAACCCAGGTAGCAGTTTGTCTTTAGGAGTGAGAGGAGATGCAGGAAGATAATAAACAGACAGGACAGAAAAATAGTCAAATAAAAACAAGTTAGTTTTTGTACCTGCTGGTTGCAACAAACAGACACCATTGAAGGTAATCAGAAGTGAGGAACAGAAAATGAAATAATTATTTTAATGTTTAGAGCAGCAGGAACTCTGAGAGGCTGCAGGCGCATCAGTGAGTTTGCGGCCGCGGGGCGGGGGGGCTGGGGGGTGGGTGGCTGAAGCAGAAACTACCGTTGTTGAAAGAAATGTGTTTAACTTTGAAAATGTGGGCGCAATTTTAATTGTCAAAAACTCCAGCGAACCATTCGTTCATTTTGCTCAAATAGAAATAGAGGCCTGCCTCTAATACTGGTCCTCCTTCCAATAAAGGCCTGGAGCTTGATGAGCTTGAGTAAAATACAGGCCCGGGCCTGTATTAGAGGATTTACGGTATCCTGCTAGAGGGTTTATTTAGTGGTCTGAAAATAAAACACGTTTCTGGTGCTATAATTAGTACATGCAATACCCTCAAAATGACCAACAACACATAGTTATCATGAAATATTAAATAGGTGTGGGAGATGTAGATTTTTATTTTGTACCACTTAAACAGTTTGGGCGCCCTAGTAAACAGGCGAGGCTGGGTAGAGTAGAGCAGCACTACTTCAACACCTTTCACTCAGGTAAAAGTAGCTGTCCAAGAAATTACTCAAGGGTAAAAAGTATTTGATTAGAAGGCTACTTGAGTACCGAGTATCATCTGATGTCATCTTTTTTAAAACGATGACGTCAAACAGACAAAAATAAAAGGTCATGGGCAAATTTTTATATTTTAAAGACTAAAGGGGAAAAATGTAAATAAACATAATTACAAAATAACAAATGTTATGCTAAATTTAGACACAAACTGAGGACAACGTTTTCCTGCCATAGAGGGTTTGTTTAGTTGTCTGAATATGCAACACTTTTAGAAAAAAAATACTGCGATCATTTTGGCCACAACCACCATGAGGTTAGATTTGCTCACCGTGACAACCCTAGTTGGGAGTTTAAAGGGATACTTTGCAACCTTTTCATATTTTTAAAAATTATTTTCTTGAGCCAGTGTGTTAAAATGACCCTTTTACAAGGTTAATGAACTGTCCCTCAGACCCCATCGCCCACTGTGACCTGAATACCGCACTTGCAACTTCAGAGTGCCGGTCCTCTCCCTGTTGGACTCTAGCTTACATACCTGGAGCAGCAGTCTGCTTCCAGCACATTTCCTGCGTGTTTTAGATCATGAACACAGCTGATTTGTTTTATTTAGTGATGAATTGCTGTTTCAGCTGTTGGATTAAGAGGTTAAAAAATATGAACGTTCAGTGAAGAGATACGTTTTGCTTTCACTTCTACTAAATGGACACTAGGGGGTGCTAAAAACAGGCCAAAACTGCAGTTTCCCTTTAATAATGGTGACTTTAATGCAGCATGAATGCTGCTTATTTTATTTTTCTTCTACTCCGCTTCACCAGCAACTCTTCCAATGTTACCAGTGCTGTTTGGTTGTTTTGGTGACATCTGCTGATGTCATTTCCTACTGAGTTGCAAATAATTAGTGTGAGTTAACTACAAGTTCTGCTCAGTGACTCTACCGGGTCATTCTGAGTACCTACCCCTGTTCAGGCTCTGTTGGTTCCTGGAAATTGCCCAGAAAAAATCACTTCAGCCTTCCCGCTGAAGTGGAGACACGTGCATGGGTTAAATAACCCTGAAGATCCAATAGTGGAAATGGCACCATTTTCCTGTTGGATAATTCAGCCACGTTTTATCTTCAACGCTGTCCCTGATTAAAGGAGGCTTTTGCCCAAAATCTCACTACACACGGCCCCACTCATCCTTTCTTAAACAGATCAGCCGTCCTTTCCCTTATGCCGAAAAACCGTTCCAAAACAAGATCACGGACACCCCACCAGATCTCATTTGTGTAACCCCCCACTTGTGAAACCAAAATTATTTCCTTGAATGAAGCAGTAGCTTTATGAGCATAAGCATAAACCACATTACAGGTTTGACTTGATGTTTTTATGATGACTTGGCTGTCATGTTTCAACACCAACCAGCAGATGTCTCTATATAGGGCTGAGCAAATGAAGCTTGGAGTATGAACGTTTTGGAGACCAATTAGCTGGAAATCCTGATTGGTTCATGAGGCTTCATTTGACCATCACTGCTTCCCACTTGGCTGGCTGTGGAACACTGGACCAGCTCTATACCCTTTGGGGGATCCTGGAGGGTGCGTGGGAGTTCGCCCAACATATCTACATGTGCTTTGTGGATTTGTAGAAGGCATTCGACTGCGTCCTGTGGGGGTTGCCAGGCCTTCTGATATGGACTGTTATGCATTGCCAGCAGTAAGTCGGGCTCGTTCCCAGTGATAGTTGGACTCAGTCAAGGCTGCCTTTTGTCACAGATTCTGTTCATAGCTGTTCTGGACAGGATTTCTGGGCACAGCAAAGGTGTTGAGGGGATCCATTTTGGAGGCCTGAATATCGGGCTTCTGCTTTTTGAAGATGATGTGATCCTGTTTGCTTCATCAGAATGTGATCTCCGGCATTCGCTGGAGTGGTTCGCAGCAGAGTGTGAAGCAGCTAGGTTGAGAATCAGCTCCTCTAAATCCAAGACAAATAGGCTCGTCAGTCAAACTGATCATATTCTGCTATTTAAAATCTGATAATAAGGCCTTAACTGGTATTGTTATAATAGCTGTCCCCTCCACATCCTTCCATTCTGTAGTGTCTTCTGAGGAACACAAACATATCAATGCGCTCAAATGTGCAGCACAATAATTTTCTCGTAAACGAGGAAGATCATCCCATCTTTCTTCAACTGTCAAAAATGTATTTTGACAGCACTTTACAAACTGTTTCTGAGGTCTGAAAGTTGGAAATCACTGGAATACGTAGAGCCTTCCTGGGAGAATATTTAATCTAATTGAATCAACTCTAGAATGTAAATCTAAAAACGTCTTTGTAAATCTGATTTTATCGCCATATTCAGAGGGTCATAATTAACTTTAAACATTTTAGAGAAGTCTCTGTGCAAGACCGCCCCTAAATATACTTTCTGCATCCCGTTCCTACTCATAACTATCTACAAATAAAATCTTTATAAATCATAAGATGTGATTTCCTGGATTTTGTACCACAGTTGGAGTGTACTTATAACTGACTTCTCATCTTTTAAGTGGGACAACGTGGACAGTCAGTGGCCAAATGCTTTCTTGCCCCACTGTATCTGTAATTTGTGTGTGTGCGTGTGTGTGTGTGCACGCGTGTGCGCTTTTCAGCTGCTGCTAAACCCAGAGATGGTGAAGGCCTGTCCAACTCTGATTCCATATGTCTTTGACTTCCTGGAGAACAAGCCCTACAGCAAAGGCAAAGGAGACTTTGCACGCAAGGTCTCTGATTCACAGTCATTTTTTGTTTTTGTCTCCCAAATAACTAAAAGTCTAAAAATGTTTTTTAAAATACGATCACGGAGTTTAAACAGAATTGTTCTGCTTGTATAAAACTAAATTCTCTAAAATTTCTTGGTTTTTCAGATGGACACATTTGTGAACCCGCTGCGGAGTTCCATGAGGAACGTGTCCAACGCAGTAAAATCGCTACCGGACAGTTTAACCGAGGGCATGACCAAGGTCTCTGACAACATGGGCCGGATGTCAGAAAGACTGGGTCAGGACATCAAACAGTCCATATTCAAGGTGTGTCTGAACATTAGACCCTTGCTGCTTCCATCTTTGCTCCGGTCGCCTGAAATAAAAAAGAGATGAATGCGGTGTAGCAGCAGTCACTTATCTGCATTAACCTCCTGTTTGGCAGCTTTAGCTGAAACGGGCGTTTTAATGAGAGCAAAAAGGAAGCATGACGTTCCAAGGCTTATCGTCCTCCTTAGCTGGCTCTCTCTCCTCCCTCTACTGTGTAGCTTGGTGTCAGTTACATGTGTGTTATCGTCATGCTAAAAAACTTGATTTATCACACCCATGACGCCGCTCACCAAGGCATGAAGAAAGCAAGTACGTGTGTGTACTCTGGAAAATGACAAATGTAGGAACACAGTGATGTTAATCTGATGACTGGTTTCAGAAGAGGTCCTTGTTCGATTACTTGTTACTGTAAGAAGTGGTGTTGACACAATAACTGTACAAACAGTAAACTGAGCTACTTAAATATGAATAGTTTACAGTCAGCCTTACTTTCGTTTACTTGGGAGCATCTCCACACTGCTGATGTAGCTCCTCCCCTGCTGACTGGCTACCTGAGGTCATGATGTACTGTAGTTAAGTGTTCAGTATAGAACACTACCGTACGTCATCAGCTGCTTTTTATGTGACTCGCATTTATTTTGTGGTGATTTACCGGTTAAACCAGTGATTCCCAATCAGGATTAGGCTTACCCCTATGAATGTACTATTTTTAATGAAGCAAAGAGCAAGTTGCCACAAGAGGGAGGAGCGAGATTAAATGAAAACGGGGTTCATCTGAGGGTCAGTTTCGGCTGTGTTGTTTCTGTGATTTAGGTGTTTCAGCCGAAAACCGAAAATGCACTTTTGGGTCATTTCGGTCGAAAAATTTCTGTGGCCAAATTTTCGGTGCGTCCCTAATTTCTGATATACCAGATAACCGCCCATGCCAAAAAGCAGAAATCCGGTATTCAGAAATTCAAAAATCCATACACCCTCAATATCCTCAACAGAAAGCTGGGAAAGGCATATTGCATTCCACCTCTTTCAGGAATCCAAACCAGGTGCATTCCATCCCGACATGAAGGCGCTCCCTGCGCCAATCTCATTGTCATCAATCGTGTTGAAAGTCCAGTTGACCAGATCCACATTTTAGTCATTTCCAGATTTCAGAAACAATGTAGAGTGGAGACAGACAGCACAAAGAGCCTTTGCAAGAGAAGGGAGGAGAAAGAAAAGCATCTGCACCCTCCAAGAGGCAGAAGAATCTGAGAGCGGGAGTTGGTGTGTGAGGTTGAGAGGTTCCGACTAGATATAGTCGGACTGACCTCGATGCATGGCTCTGGCTCCCGAACTGGTTTCCTCGAGAAGGGTTGGACTTTCTACCACTCTGGAGTTGCTCCCACTGAGAGGCACCAAGCAGGGCATACTTCTTTCCCCCATCTTGGTGTATGTTGGGGTTTACTCCGTTGAAAGAGAGGGCCCTTCCCTCTGCCTTTGAGTGGGAGGACGGGTTCTGACTGTTTGTACATCAGTCTTTACACCCTTTATGGAGTCCCTAGAGGGGGTGCTGTAGGGCGCTCCTTCTGGTAACTCCATTGGTCTCCATGGAGACTTTTAACACTCACCTGGGCAACGAGTGAGACCTGGAGAGGTGTGTTTGGGAGGAATGGCCCCCTGATCTGAATCTGAGCGGAGTTTTGTTACAGGACTTCTGTGTTCATCATGGATTGTCCATGAGCACCATGTTCAAGCATAAAGGTGTCCATGCTCTTTGCACCAGGATACCTTAGGCTGCCGCTCGGCTTTGTCGTCATCTCATAATCTGATCTGCGGCCACGTCTTGGACACTCGGGTCAGAGCGGTCAAGTGACCACTACCTGGTGGTGAGTTGGCTTTGATGGTTGGGGAGGATGCTGGTCAGACTTGGCGGACCTAAATGTATTGAGAGGATCTGCTTGGAACGTCTGGTGGAGTCTCCTGTCAGAAAGAGCTTCAATTCCCACCTCTGAAAGAATTTTGAACACGTCCTGAGGGAAGCAGGGGACATTGAGTCTGAGTGGACACAATTGCTGTGACCACGGGGTGTTTGGTGCGTGTCGTGGTGGCAACCCCCGAACCTGCGTGTGGACACCGGCGGTTAGAGATGCTGTCAATCTAAAGAAAAGCTGCTTCCATATCTGGGTCAGTGTGGGCCGGTGCGTTTTCCATTCTGCAGTGACTTTTTTTCAGACGTCTTCCTCGGTGGTCTGACTGGGGACCAAGGTGACACTACGGACTGATTGGCCGGCTGAAATTAACGCCCACCTCCTATTGGCGAGTAGAATCGGCTACGGCGCGCTCCTCGGCGGTGTCGACAGGCGTGCGTCTTTCGCAGTCGTCTTTTGTTTGCCCAAGTGACCTCATCAGTGTTTACCGGCTCTCCTTTTAAGTTTGTTTCAAACCTAAAAAACTCCCAAACTGCAGAAGTTGTGTTGGTTTTAGACGCCAAGTCAGCTGGTGCGCGAGCTGCCGTTTTTCTCTCTGAGCGCCGTCTCTGCGCTGTCACGTGATGACATCACGTTCATAAACTTTATGGAATGTCTCTCAGATTTGGACAAAACATTTTAAACTATTTAAGTAAAACAGAAAATCCAGCCATGCATCCATTTTATACATTAAATTATCTTTATCATCTTCTATTTGTTTTTATTTTTTAACCCTCGTAGGCAGTTTTTTTTTTCCATGACTGTAGTGGAACGACGCCGTTGCTCCGGGTGTATACGGTACTACAGTAATACCACCCAAGCCCACTGGAGTCTAGGCTAACTTCCTGTTGCACCTGCTTTAGGTGACCTAACACCAGCCTGTTTCTGCTCTAGGTGCCTCCACTCCTTCCCAAGTCTGACATCGACCCAGAACACTGCCGAGTCTCCGCCCAGCTTGACGACAATGTGAGTCTTTGACCTGCTGGACGTTTGTCTTTCTGTTCTCTTTGCGTTTTGGTAAAACGGTAAATGTGTGATCAGGTGGATGATAACATCCCGTTACGAGTGATGCTGCTTCTAATGGACGAGGTGTTTGATCTGAAGGAGAAAAACCAGTGGCTGCGAAGGAACATAAAGAACCTGCTGCAGCAGCTCATCAGAGCCACTTATGGTGACACAATCAACAGGTCAGAGACTCACAAAGTTCCCCCACGCTCGGGAGGATTCTGCTTCACAAGGAGCACAACTTTCATCTAGTTTTCTGTTTCTGAAGGAAAATCGTGGACCATGTGGACTACTTGACATCACCCGAGCAGGTGTCTGATTACGTGAAGAAGTTCAGGTAGGATTCCCTCACTTTGGTTTCAGATTTGTTTGATTCCTCTGAGGAATCTGGAGTAATTGTTTCCATGTGCGTTCAGGGATTCCTACTGGCCTAATGGAATTCTAGCTGAGACTCCACCCCGCCGGGACAAGTGCATCCGAATGAGGACACGGATAGCTGCCAAGACCAGCCTGTTGGGCATCATGCCAGGTGAACATGTACGCTGAGTCATACTGTAACACACTGTTACACACCCCTGAGTACTATCTCTGTTCCTTAGATGAGCTGAAGCACATCATTGGAGCCGACACCACCAGAAAGGGCATCCTCCGCGTCTTTGACATGTTTCAGTACCAGCCTATGAATCGACGACTCGTCTACGTGTTTTTGGAGGGCTTCCTGGAAACCATGTTCCCCCAGTACAAGTTCCCTGAGCTGTTTGTCAAGCTGCACTCCCGCTCACCACGGATCCGTAGATTCAGCCAGAAACTCAAAAGGTGACAGGAAAGGACGGCAGCATCAGAACACGTGACAGATGGGCGGAGGCCTGAAAGGGAGGGTGTGTGAGGGGCGCTTGGTGTGAACACTGCCCAGCCCTCTCTGTTCACACACTCCTGTGGGTGGATAACACTCCTGCAGTCTGACTAATTAGAACCGGAGGAGCAGCTCTGCCGAACTCGTCTGACTCGACAGCAAACCCAAACCTGATCATTTGCACCAAGATTGAACATGGAGTCTCTTTTTTTCCTATAATTTCCCTTTTTTGGGGGGCTTTTTTGTTGCATTGAGCTTTATCTGTGTCCAGCTGCTTCCCTGTGGTCCAGAGAGCAGACAACAGAGTTTTTAAAAAGCGGAGGACTTCTTAGTGTAATCCCACACCTTGCCTTACCTTCCTGCTTCACTCGTCCATCTCAGAGCCATACGGCTGGAATCAATCGTACCCACATGCTGCAGAAGCACTTGTTCATTAGAAAATATCATTTTGGTAGCAAACTGTCAAAAGCACTGGGTTGAAGAGGAGCCATTCTCAAAATGTGACTGAAGATGGTTTGAAATTTTTCTTTTTTTCCTCTTTATTAACATCCTTTGTGCTTCTTCTGATGAGCTCCAGTGTTTCACCCACTAACAACCAGGCCACTTCCCCTTTAATCTCCTAACCTGACAACCAAAGCTTGTGTGTGTGTGTGTGTGTGTGTGTGTGTGTGTGTGTGTGTGTGTGTGTGTGTGTGTGTGTGTGTGTGTGTGTGTGTGTGTGTGTGTGTGTGTGTGTGTGTGTGTGTGTGTGTGTGTGTACCAGCCTTAAATCTATTTAGTGAAAACTGACCACGCGAAGCAGGCTAGAGGGAGCTTTCCTTCACTGTTTGAACATTACATGGAAATAAAGATATTTCCCTTTTTGCTTTACTTCTAACAAAATATTAGTTTTTGGTGCAATATATCGATTTTTTTCTTTAATGCATCTGCATTTCGATCATTTGTGTATTAAAATGATTTTTTTAGGGAGGAAAAGATGAAAGAAGTCTCCCACATTTGTCTTTTTACCCCAACGACTTAACATTCCATTGTTGAAACGTTGTCTTTATTTAGACTCGTTTTAAACATTTGAGTTTTTTGTGCCCATGCCCACTGTTGCAGAATCTGCTGGGTGTTGATCCAGGAGTGACTGGAGGTTGTTTTTGTCACAAGTCTGATTTCCTCATGTGGCTATAGCTACAGCTTTTACTCGTCGGTAGCGTATGTGTTCAGGACAGTCAGGTTCGGTGCACCCCGCCCCTACCCCCCCACCCCTGTCAAAGGTCCAAGAGTTCGCAGAGGAGACTAACCTATTGAGTCACTGCTAACTAGCAATTACTGTAGCAACTGGGAGTCCTGTTTCTACTGCCTGAACGTTTTGTTTCAGTCACTCAGCTGAACTCCTACTTTGATGTGCTGCTCTGAGCAGCCCTGGTGGACTTTGATTGGCTGAGCTGGAAGCCATGAACTGGCACATCTTCTCTTGGGAGATGGAGATGTCACCTTTAACTTTCTGCACTCCTCTTCATGCAGGAAGGCTTTTTAAAATCTCAGTATATAAATATATATATATGAATTTATGATTCAGAGAATTTGTGCATATAAGTGTACATTGTGTTAATAGTGTGCCTAAATGTACTTTAAACTATTTTCATATTTTTCTTTACCCAAACAAGTCAATCAAAATGTCATCACTCAAAAGGCTAGAGTATGGGATTCGTTTTTTATTTTATTTTTGGCATCATGCTTAGCAGAGTTTCCCTCGTGAGCACTTGTGCTCAGACCAGTATAACACTAATAAAAGGTAACTCAAAATGGCATGTAGTCTCATGTCTATGCATTTTCTGGCTACTAGTCAGGAAACCAAAAGCTACATTGCAAATGTTATTTAATTTCACTTCACATGAAAGCAGCCCCACCTGTGCAACAGGAGGTCCAGTAAATGAAAACATGTTCTTGCTTTAGACAAACATATTCTCCTCGTTCATCACGCTTTCCTCTGGGCTTTTCCAACTGGATCGGCGATTATAACAATTCCCCAAGCAGCCAAACCTGACAGCAGAACGGAACAGGTGTGTATTTGCACGTAACGCTACAGGTCTACATCCATCAATGAGCTGTGTAAACTTACATGCTGCCAATGTAAACTGCGCCACCATTCCCATGGAGGCAGGACCACCTTGTTGCCGCATCACATTGCGAGCTGCAAAGTACACATATGCTCCGGACAGGAACAGACCTCCACCGGAGATGATTCTGCAGCTCCAGCAGCTCTTAAATATCTGCGTGGATTTGGAGGGGGTGGGCTCGACCTCGGTTGACATCGTGGAATAACGATTATGCTAACGCTAACAGCTAAACAAGCATCCAGAAGCTAGCAATCAATCTGTTTGTCAGAAACTAGCGTTCGCTTGATAGGCTCGTTTGAAAACGAACCAAACGAGGTCCGTAGTTACAACAGAAACGATGACAAACACTCCAGCTGCAGCAATGTCATATGGAAAACGGAGTTTGATTATAAAGAACCTAAGTCACGCCCATCTACTTCCGGGTCCCCGGAAGAACTAAAAAATTTTTTTTAAACAAACCTTTATTAACAAAAAAAGAATATACAATGTGACAATGAGGTTACAAGCTCACAGTTGACAACGAATAAGAAAAGTGAGATGTGAACAAAAAAAGAAAAAGTGCCAGGGGGATATAAAAAGGTGGGTGTACAGAAAAATACCGATTACAGTAGCATATATCTAGAGAGAACATCAACACAGAAATAGTAATAAATCAGGATCAGATTATCTTATAATAATAATAATAATAATACATTTTATTTAAAAGCGCCTTTCAGGACACCCAAGGTCACTTTACACAAAACACGTAATAAAATACAATAAAACAATAATAAAACCCAAAGAAGAAAAAACAGAGAAACATTTCAATAAAATCAGAGGTTGTAGGCAGATTTAAACATGTGTGTTTTGAGTTTTGTTTTGAAAAGGGTAAAACTGTCGACGTTCCTAATGTCTGGGGGAAGTGAGTTCCAGAGTCGAGGAGCAGAGCGGCTGAAAGCTCTGCTCCCCATGGTAGCGAGACGGGCAGAAGGAACCGCAAGAATGGAAGAAGAAGATCTGAGTGAACGGGACGGGGTGTGAATACTTATAAGGTCTGAGATATATGGAGGAGAGAGGTTGTGGATTGCTTTGAAGGTATGGAGGAGAATTTTGAAGATGGACCTGAATTTAACTGGGAGCCAGTGAAGCTGCTGGAGAACCGGCGTGATGTGGTGAAAGGAAGGGGTTCTGGTGATAATACGGGCTGCTGAATTCTGGACCAGTTGCAGTTTATGAAGGAGTTTGTTGGGAAGACCATAAAGAAGTGAATTGCAATAGTCGATACGGGAGGTGACGAGGCTGTGGACGAGAATGGCGGCAGTGTGAGGGGTCAGTGAGGGACGGAGACGGTTTATGGAACGTAGATGGAAGTATGCTGACCGAATTAAGTTATTTATGTGAGCCTGAAAAGAAAGTGAGCTGTCGAGAATGACACCCAGACTCTTGACGTGAGGTGAGGGGGAGACTGTGGCGCTGTCAATAGTTAAAGAAAAGCTGTCAGATGTTGAGAGGGTGGAGTTAGTGCCAACAAGAAGAAGTTCAGTTTTATTGCCGTTGAGTTTGAGGAAATTAGAGGTGAACCATGATTTGATTTCAGAGAGGCAGAGTGTAAGGGAGGATGGTGGGAGAGTTGAGTTGGGCTTACTGGAAATGTAGAGCTGGGTGTCATCTGCAAAGCAGTGAAACTGGAAAACTGGATCTTAAAGCGGGTACATATTTCAGTAGTCTTTACAGCCTTCTGGTTTTGTGAAAACCGGATAGAGTCCATATAATGCTTGACTTCCACTAAGAAACAGTTAAAGTTGGGTTTGCTTTTAAGAAATTTATATTTATGGATATGAAATTTGGCCAAAAGAAATAACAGATTAATAAAAAAAATTATAGAGTTATTGAAAATATTCTGGTGAAGGCCAAACAAAACGTGCTTCCAATAAATGTTAAACTTGACCGAGAATTTACAGCAGATGAAGTCACAGAAAGACTGCCAAAACCGTTTGGAATGAGTACACAGCCAAAAAAGATGAGTTGTTGTTTCTGGAAGATCTTCACAAAATGTACAAGATACATCCAGGTCTGATTTAAATTTTTTAAAATAACATTTAGAGGGGTAGAATCTATGTAATAGTTTAAAGGAAGTTTCTTTAACCTTGTTAGTGATCAAAAATTGATTGGGTAGAAGCCAAACCTTCCTCCATGTCAAGTCATCCACAAATCTATTCCAGTATGATATGGCACATGGAAGAGATGTCATGTCTTTAAGAAAGAGAGTTCTAATTGCTTTATTTTTATTATTAGGAGATCATTAAAACATATTTCACCGATTGGGGACAGAACTGGAGAAAAAACAGGAGAGAACTGACTATAAGTTAATCTAGGTCTCTGATTGAATAACATACACACTCCTGGAGAAATGGCTCCAAAAACCTTTGCATATTCGCCCGGCGTAATCGGAATATTATACTGTTGTAGAAACTCACCATAGGAAAGTAACTGACCTTCTGCATTAAAGAGTTGGTCTACTAAAATGATGTTATTCTGGAACCATGAGTTGAAAAACAGAGACTTGTGTTTATGAAGAATGTCCTTATTATTCCCGATGAAGTAGCGGTGAGGTGAAAAATTGTGCTTGTACATGAGTGTCCATGAGAGGAAGGCCTGGCGATGAAAGGCTGAGAACTTAACGGGAAGCTTTTCGACATTATAGTTGCAAATCAAGAAAAACTTTAAACCACCAAGTTGGGATAAAATGTGATGGGGTATTATATGCCAGATAGAGGTAGGAGACTTGAAAAACTGACGAATCCAGTTAATTTTAAAAGTATTATTCAATAAAGAAAAGGGAAGCAAGTTCAAACCACCATTTTCAAGCGCATTCATTAGGGAGGATTTTTTAAGAAAGTGGGTCTTGTTTTTCCAAACAAAGTCAAGTAATAACCGATCAATCTCCTTACACACTTTACTATTAAGCTCTAGAGCTAGGGCCGCATAAGTCAGCCGGGAGATACCCTCAGCTTTGGTAATCAGAATGCGACCTCTTATAGAGAGGTCTCTTATGAGCCATTGATTAAGCTTCTTCTGAGTATTTTTAATTAAAGGATTAAAGTTTCTTGAACATCTTTCATGTTGATTTTTGTGATAATTACCCCTAGGTAAGTAACTTCATTTTGGACAGGTATATTCTCAAATTCACATTCAGAACAATTTTTAATTGCCATGAGTTCACATTTTTTAATATTTAAATGGAGGCCGGATACATTGGAAAAGGTATTTATTACAATGATTGCCACAGAAATTTGAGAGTGATCTCTTAAAAATAAGGTTGTGTCATCAGCCAGTTGAGTTAGTATTAAGCTTCTACCAGCTACTGTTATACCTTTAAGAGGACTAGAATGTATGTGATAGGCCAGAATTTGACTCACTAAAAGAAATAAATAGGGGGAGATGGAGCATCCTTGACGGATACCTCTACAAATATTAAATCTGGCAGAAGTACCAGCCTTCAACTTGATGGAGCTATTACCATTTAATAGCAGCTTTAAAGAAAGGCCCAAAACCAAATTTGTCAAGAGACTGAAAAATGAAATTATGCTCAATGGTATCAAAGGCTTTGTAAAAGTCTAAAAATAAAATTAAACTATTGTCTTGAACAAGCTCAGGGTAATCTAGGAGGTCTAGAACAAGCCTAATATTATTGGTGATATGTCTGTTCTTCATAAAGCCTGATTGTGTGTCATCAGTGATTGAGTGTAGAGTTGATTTTAACCTTTTAGCAAAAGTGACAGCAAGGATTTTATAATCATTATTGAGAAGACAGATAGGGCGCCAATTATCAATGAGCAATGGATCTTTTTTGGGTTTAGGTATTAATATTGTTAGACCTTGAGTCAAGGTGGGTGGAAAGACACCTCTTCAGATACTTTCATTGAAAACCTCTAATAGAAAAGGGGCTAAATCTTGGGAAAATGTTTTGTAGAATTCTGTTATTAAACCATCAACCCCGGGCGATTTGTTAGTTTTTAGACAATTTGTTGCATCTAAAATTTCTTGTATTGTAATCGAATTTTCACAAATTTGTTGTTCAGTTTGAGAAATAGTGTTAACAGTCAAAGAGCTTAGAAAGGAATCAGTAGATATGTTTTGATTGGAGGAATATAACTTTTCACAAAAGGAGCTACAGAATTGGGAAATTAATCTATGATCCTCTGTGATTGTATTATTGATTTTTAGCGTGCCAAGTGTATTGTTTGTGGCCTTGCTCTTTTCTAAATTAAAAAAATAATGAGAGTTTTTTTCTCCTTCCTCGAGTCATCTCTTCCTCGATCTGACAAAGGCACCTTTACTCTTCTGGGTATAGACATTATCTAGTTTAAGTTGTAATTCAGCTAACTCTTGCTGTTCTTCACTAGTCAATAGAGAGGGGCGAATCTGAGAGAGTTTTGAAATACCCAGTATAATATTTGCTTCCTCGGCATTAGATGATTTTGCTCTGGCACTGCCAAATTTCCTCAGAAACTCACCACATTCAAACTTGAAAAGTTCCCAGTTAGATCCAAAACTATTTTCATCTTTAGCTTTTGACCAGAATGTGTGAATTAACTCAGAAATATTTACCTTAACCTCTTCATGTTGTAGTAATTGACAGTTCAATTTCCAATAAGTGCGTATGGAGTTGGAGTTTTTATAATCTGAGAGATTGATGGTTATCTGAATGGCTTTGTGATCGGTGATAGGAGTAGGGGATATCTTAATATCGACACAATCTTTATTTATAGTTTTAGAGATCAACCAGAAATCTAATCTAGATTGTTTTGAACCGGTTTTGTTAGACCAGGTAAACACACTGGTGTCATCGTTCTTAACCCTCCAAATGTCAACTAAATTAAATTTTTCCATCAAAGAGATGACAATGGAGCTGGAATCATTTGGTTTCCCTGGTGGCCATTTGTCAGTTTGTCCATTCATAACAGTGTTAACATCACCTCCCATACAAATTAGAGCATGTGGGAAGTTTTTAAACCACGTTGTAACTATCTTTTCAAGAGAGCAAAATAAACTTATGTTATCCTTTCTGTTATTATAACCATATACACAGAAAAAATGTCTATGTTCCACCTCAATCATCTGATATATATAGTGACCAAAGGGGTCACTTTCCGTTAAAAGAATCTCTCCATTAAATCTGTTTTTTAGAGTTGCAACTCCTACAGAATGTACAGACCCATGTGAAAACCAAATAGTATTAACCCATAGTGTTTTCCAAAACCTAACATCCTCTACTGTAGAATGACTTTCCTGAAAAAAACAAAAATCTGATCTGGTCATTTTAGCAAATAAAAATAAAGCTTTTCTTTTAGTTATATTGCGTAACCCCCTGGCATTTAGAGAAAATAAAGATAACATAACAACAACAAAGAACACTAACAATGAAGTTCAAATAT